TGAGGCTGCGGCCTAGCAAGTTTGTGCAAACTGCATGCTCTCATTTATGACTGCTGATTAAAATCTAGTTGGCCGACCACAAGAACTAAGCTGCGCTCGGGTGTGATGATTCTGAGAAGACTTCTGAACAACTTCTGTTTTTTTATTTTTTCTCCCCCTACTTCCCCTTTTTTACACTTCTATATAAGAAGCTTGTGTGAGACAATAAAACGAGGCTTGATCAGATCCTTGTCTTGCCTCCCTCCTTTGCGTCTCTTGTCCCACCCACTCCCCCTTCCAGGTTCCACGGACCGACTCCCAATTCCCAAGGGAAGGGACAATTAACCATCATAGACTTAGCAAATATTATTAGCGAGTAACCAGATTACTCAACAGAGGCCTCAGTTTCCCCATCTGTAAAATGGGGATTATGAGATCCACTGCCCCAGACTATGAAAAGGGTTAAACAAGTGCCTGGCACTTAGTGGGCACATAGTAAAAAGCTATTATTATTATCGTCAACATTTTTATTGTATGTTGATCCATTTTGAGTTTGTTCAAACAATTGCACATATTATAACTTACACTATAATAACTAACAGAAAAAAGTAAAACAAAAACAAACAAATAACTAGCCAATGTTATCCTCTGCAGATGCAGGTCTGTGGCTCCAGAGTGCTATCTACAGCAGCTGGGAAGTATTCCAGGCTCTTGGCCCAGTGTTTTGGCAACAATTTGATCTGAAGATGGCAACCAGGGTGCTTTGGGGAAGCCTATGCCTGCTCCGAGTGCTGTGGTGTCTCCTTCCGCAGACAGGCTACGTGCATCCCGACGAGTTCTTCCAGTCACCTGAGGTCATGGCAGGTAAAGCTCCCCATATGTCGTGAAGATAAGTTGCAGCAAAGTCTGGTTGAGGGGCTGATTGAATGTTTGGTGTGGCGGGTGGGGGGGGAGAATAATGCCGTGCAGATGAGCAGTATCCACAAGCAAAGCAACAGCCCCTCTGGCATGAGAACTTGGAAGTGGGGCTTCGCATCTCCCTCCTGAGTAGTGACACTGATCTTCTGGATCATAGTAATAAAACTGATGTTTTCCTTCTTGGAACAACAGTACAGATCATTCAGAATGAAAGCCATTTTGGACTTCTCAGTAGAACTATTTTATTTTATTTTATTTCAGACTTTAGGAGCATCAAAGGGAACAGTTTTAGAGTTGTCCTTCTCCAATGCTAGGTGTAGGACACATCATGAGGATGGTTGCCATGGGCCTTGATGCTTTTCAGATGCTGTGGGCATGTGGCTTCCTCCTCATGGTTCAGATGGCTGCTTGAGCTCCAGCCATCAAGTCTAAAACCAAGTCTTTCCAGCCAACAGAGGAGTTGAGCATGCTCTACTCTCTTTAAGGTCATATTTTGAAAGTCACATGCTTTTTTGGACTGGCTAGTTAGCTCAGTTGGTTAGAGCACAGTGTTGTAACACCAAGGTCAAGGGTTCAGATCTCTGTACCAGCCAGCTGCCAAAAAAAAAAAAAGAAAGAAAGTCCCATACTTTTTGCCCATTTCCATCCCACTGGCCAGACCATATCACATGACCACACCTAGCTACAAAGGAAGCTGAGAAACGTAGTCTTTATATCTAACCAAGTGCTCAGCTAAAGAGACTAAGGAAGAAGTGGGAATCGATTTGGGGGAGACAGTCAGCTATCTCTGCCACAGGGCTCAATAGATGGACTTGTTTTTTTGGTTGAAAAGTTCAGTCTTCTTTCCCACACATTTTTTTAACCTGAACTAGTCAAAAGCAGTCAGATTGATTTGATCCTAGATATTCTGTTTCCGTTACACCTTCTGACATGATAAAACAGCCAAAAGGCTAGAATCATAAGCAGCAGCAGCAAAGAACCCAAAAGATCCCCAGGCCATATAATCGACTCTAAGCCACCAGCAAGGTTACTGAGCATTGGATGTTGGGGCCAATGGGGCTGGGAGTGGAGTTGCAGAAATTAAGAGTTTGTCCCCTCACCCCCACATTGGGACATTAGTGCCCAGGGTCATAAACCAGTCCCAGGCAGCAAGTATCTTTTTTCAATTATATAAGTACTGTTTGAATACATTCTTATAAAAAATTTAAGTACCATATATAAAATTAAGTTCATCTTTGACCATAACCCCAATTGCTTATTCCCTGCCCCACTCTCACTCTCCCCTCCTGGATAACAATGATTATCACAGAGATGGTTTCTGACCCTGACTTTTGAAGTACTCTGAGAAGAGGGATAAAGCCTCCCCGTTCCTACACACACACACTTTCTGGGGGAACGCTGTCCCCTTATCTCCCAGTGCGGTTCCTCCTGCCTCCTTCACAAAGTGGACCCTTACCCCCCTCGAACTCCCCTATGCTCATTTCTGTTGTTGTGTGGCAAATCATCACAAGCCGCGCAGCTTAAAACTGCACTCGGCTGTTAGATGAAGAGTCTGGCATGGGCTCTGCACTCGGTATCACGCAGTTGAAATCATGGTATGGGCTGGGCTGAGCTCTTGTCTAGAATCGCTGGGGGGAAATCTGCTTCCAAGCTCATTCCTGTTGTGGGCAGAATTCAATTAATTTCGGCTATGGGTCTCCAGCCCCTATTTCCTCACTCTCTGCTTCTAGAGGCCACCCGCGTTCCTTGCCAATGGCCTGCTCCATCTCTAAGCCAGCAGTGGCCCATCAAATCCTCCTCCTGTTTTGAATCTCTGCCACTTCTTGGCCCAGCTGGAGAAAACTCTGCTTATAAAGGGCTGGTGTGAGGAGTCAGGCTCACCCGATAATTTCCCTACTTCACAGTCAGCTCTCCCACGCAACATAACCTAACCCCAGAGTAAAATCCATTCGTGCACAGTGCAGGGATTATGCAGGGTGTGCATAATAGGGGGTGCAACATATTGGGAGCTGTACTGGAATTTTGCCCACCACATCCCTGAGCTTATCTCTGCCTCTCTCTCTGCAGAGGACATCCTGGGCGTGCAGGCCACACGGCCCTGGGAGTTTTACCCCAGCAGCTCCTGCCGCACGGTGGTCTTCCCTCTACTGACCTCAGGCTCTACCTTCTGGCTTCTCAGGCTCTGGGAAGAGTTGGGGCCCTGGCCTGGCCTGGTGAGTGGCTACGTGCTACTGGTGGGGCCCCGACTCCTCCTCACTGCCCTCTCCTTTGCCCTGGATGGGGCCATGTATCACTTGGCCCCACTGTGGGGGGCGGATCGTTGGAATGCCCTGGTCCTGCTGTCTGGTTCCTACGTCACCCTGGTCTTCTACACAAGGACCTTCTCCAACGCTGTCGAGGGACTGCTCTTCACATGGCTGCTGGTGCTGGTATCCCCCCATGTAGCACGAAGCCCCACACCCAGGAAGTCTGCTCCAGGTCCATGGTGGCACAGCTGGCTTCTCGGGGGCATTGTGGCTGCTGGCTTTTTCAACCGCCCTACCTTTCTGGCCTTTGCTCTGGTCCCCCTCTTCCTCTGGGGCATTCGTGGAGCCACAAACCCTGGCTTCAAGTCCCTGACCCGGGAAGCCCTGGTGCTGCTCCCAGGAGCGGCCCTCACAGCACTAGTGTTTGTGGCCATGGACAGCTGGTACTTCTCTAGCCCCTCTAGACCCAGTACCCTTGTCCTTACACCTGTCAACTTCTTGCACTACAACCTGGATCCCCAAAACTTGGCACAGCACGGCACACATGTGCGGCTCACTCACCTGGCAGTCAATGGCTTCCTGCTCTTCGGGGTTCTGCATGTCCAAGCTCTGCACGCTGCATGGCAACAGCTGCAAGTCTGCTGCCAGGCCTTTGCAAGAATGGGCCTCCTGAGGGCACTGAGTGCCCAGAGCCTGTTGTCCAGCTCCAGATCTTCCCTTCTTCTCCTCTACTTCATGCCCCTGGCCCTACTGTCTGCCTTTAGCCACCAGGAGGCTCGGTTCCTGATCCCCCTTCTGGTTCCCCTTGTCCTGCTGTGTAGTTCACAGACCCAACCTGTGCCCTGGAAGGGCACCCTGGTTCTTTTCAATGCCCTAGGTGCCCTCTTCTTTGGCTGCCTGCATCAGGGGGGCCTGGTGCCTGGCTTAGAGTACCTGGAGCAGGTGGTTCATGCACCTGTGCTCCCGAGCATGCCTATCCACTACACACTTCTCTTCACCCACACCTACATGCCCCCCCAGCACCTTCTACACCTCCCAGGCCTGGGGTCACCTGTGGAGGTGGTGGACATGGGTGGGACTGAGGACTGGGACCTGTGCCAAGCCCTGAACAACTTCATTAACCAACCAACCTGTCAAGGGGCTGGCGGGCCGTGGCTCTGCCGCCTCTTTGTGGTGACCCCTGGCACCACCAGGCATGCCGTGGAGAAATGCAGCTTTCCCCTCAAGAATGAGACACTCATGTTTCCCCACTTGACCCTGGAGGATCCACCAGCCCTGTCCTCCCTGCTGAGTGAGGCTTGGAAGGACCATCTCAGTCTTCACATCATGGAGCTGGGGGAATAAGCCTGACAATATGACAGAACAGCCCCTGCCCAAGATTCAGCTATAGAAGGTGCCACTCCACGTTCTACATGGGTAGCTGGGCTGGGATGCTGGGACAGAGGCTTGGTTCTCCTTCGAGATTCCCACTGCTGCCTGTCCTGGGCACAGCTGTTGACTGTTCTACCTTCTGAGTGAGCTGGCACTCTTTTCCCTCAGACCAAAGTTCTGACCAGTCACGATCCTGATGCCAAAGTCCCTAAGGAATCTTGGTGTAACCAATGGTACCTAATGTCTGTTCCTGCCCCATTCCTTCCAGCCACTGTGATATTTTAAATACTGTGTAAAATAGCACCTGGTTGTGAAAAATGACAGTCCTGAATGACCTCTCCCAAACTTTCTATGATGCCTTACTTCCTGCTGTCATGACAACCCTTTGGCTTCCTAAGGCCGATCTGACCTTCCAGATACCTGGAAGGCAGTGTGGTGAAGTAGAAAGAACAGGTGGCTCAGATTCAGGGGACCCAAATTCTAGTCCCTGGTCTGCTACTCACTGTGTCATCTTGAGAAAGCCCCTCCCACTCATCCAGCCTGTTTCCCAATCTTTCTGTTTGTTTGTTTTCCGGTCTGTACAATGGACTAGAGGATATGAGAGGGGTCTGACAGCTAGCACTGTCATTCCCGGAGCCCACAGCACATGAACCCTGGCTCAGCCGGCATGTCTCTCACCAAGCTCTTTAAGCATGGAAGTGGGAGTGGTGTGATATTTAGTGGAAATTTGGTGCCTGCTGTCTCGGTGTTTGGTTATTATTTATTGTTATTATTAAAACAAGTCATTCTGCGCTGTTATCAAAAAGACAAAAAGTAAATGTTGGCAAAGATGGGGAGAAAAGAGAATTCATATACTGTTGGTGGGAATATAAATTAATACAGCCATTATGGAAAAGTCTGGAGTTTCCTCAGAAAAACTAAAAACAGAACTACCATAGGATTCAGTAGTCCCACTGCTGGCTATCTACCCAAAGAAAAGAAAATAGTATACTGAAGGGATATCTGCACCCCCATGTTTATTGCAGCCCTATTCACAATTGCCACAATATGGAAAGAGGTTGGCTGTTTAGCTCACTTGGTTAGATTATGGTGCTGACAACACCAAGGCTAACAGTTCAGATGCCTGTATGGCCAGCTGCCAAAAAAAAAAAAGGATGGAATCAACCTAGGTGTCCACTGACAGATGAATGGACAAAGAAAATGTGGTACGTATATGCAATGGAATACCATTCAGCCATGAAAAAGAATAGGATGGAATCAACCTAGGTGTCCACTGACAGATGGACAAAGAAAATGTGGTACGTATATGCAATGGAATACCATTCAGCCATGAAAAAGAATAAAATCTTGTCATTTACAGGCAATATGAATGATCCTGGAAGAAATTATGTTAAGTGAAATAAGTCAGGCACAGAAAGAAAAATACTGCAGGTTCTCACTTATACGTTGGAGTTAAAGAACAAAAAAAATTGAACTTCTAGAAGTAGAAAGTAGGATTGTGGTTACTAGAGGCCAGGAAAGGGAGAAGTGAGGATTGGTTAGTGGACACAAAATTATAGCTAGATAGGAAAAATAAGTTCTAGTGGCAAACAGTAGTGCTAGGCATCTATAATTAACAATAATTTATTGTATGTTCTCAAATGGCTAAGAGAGTTCAAATGTTCTTACAAAGAAATGATAGTTTTGGGATGGTGAATATGCTAACTACTCTGATTTCATCATCACACATTGTGTACATGTATTAAAATATAACTCTATACCCCATAAATATGTACAATCAATACATGTCAATTAAAACTAAATTCCTTTTTATAAAAAGTCATTCTAGTAAATTTCTTCCCACTCTCTTCTATGGCTGTCCCTGAGAGGTGGTGGGAAACTCTCCAGCCATTTCTGCACCTTGCCCTAAGAATCATTCTCCCAGATATTGGCTAGCTGGTTAGCTCAGTTCGTTAGAATGCCACCTTGTAACACCAACGTCAAGGGTTCAGATCCCCTACCTGCCAGCCATCAACAAAAAAAAGAAACCCCAGATGTTCTCCTCAGCAATGCCATGTGTCATAGGCCCTCTCAGCCTGCCCCAATGGGAATGGAGAACACACAAAGCTCAGCCAGTATCTGGTTACCAGCCTAAAAGCTTTTCCTGTGGTGCCATGCTTTCCAGATTACGTGATTAACTGTGTAGCCTAATTAGAAATGATCATGAGGTGGAATACTGGGGTCTAAAAGTTCTTTTAACTAAGGCCCTTTGTTTGTGTAACCTTGCAGCTGGAATGTGCTTGTTTGCAAAGGATCCCTAAAAGTTGGTTAAACGGTAGTCAGCCTCTTGGGTTTCTGTAGTTCTGCTGCTTGCTTGACTGAGCCACCTGAATTCGCAGAAACTACTTGCCGAAGATATGTTTAGAAATTGAAACTAACAGCACCTACTTAATCACACATTTCCTGCCTCTGTAAAGCTGCTGGAAGCCCCCCCAGCTTGGGTGACTCTGCCTGGATACAGACAGGGCCAATAAAAAGCTTGCATGCCTGCTCAAGAAAAGTAAATAACCACAGTTCTCCCTGCACACAGGGTCCCAGGATCTCAGGATGTGAGTCCACCTGGGTCCTGCTAGTGTTCCTGTCCCACTAGCATAATAAACTTCCTGACTCTCCATCTCTCTGAGTGACTGGAATTATTTCCTCACCGAGTTCTTTCCATAAACAATCAGAAATGTAGCTAGAAGCCTCAAATGATTAGATATTTCTGTATACAATGAATTTCCCAATCATAGGTCCACTAGCTGTACCATGGTCTTAGTTTGTATCCCAGACCTTATAAAATGGGGAATAGTAATACAAGTAGATTGTTCCTCCCTAGGCAGTAGTCTTAAGGCCTGCTGGTGTTGGGGGTGGTGGGGGAGGGCAGGCATTGAGGGTCAGAGTAAATGCTGCAGACAGCTGAGATTAAGGACTTAGGCCCTGGAGTCAAAAACCTGTGCTCACATCCCACTCTATGAGGCTTTGGGCAACTTCCTCCACTTCCTCATATGAATACGGTTGTTTAAGAGTAAGTGAAATAACCCACACAGAGGCCAACAAGAATACGCACTCAATATGTGTTAACCATTATTACCACGGGCCTACAAGCCCCCAGGATTCCCAATCCTGAGTGAGAAATACCACACATGTCTATTAATGAGCTCACACATTTAATCAGGATTTTTGCAGCTGCTCGGTTGTCTTTCCATCCATGATCTTCCCTGCAATTAGCGTCCTGGTATACCAGCGCAGACATAGCAGCATCAACCAAGTTTTAGTCCCTTTTGCAGAGAAAAGGCTCTCTTTCTGGCTGTGATTCTGTCTGTGGTTCTCTGTACGTGCAGTGTCCAGACCCAGCCTATGTTTATCTCTGTTAGGTTTGCGGGTCTTTCTCCACACTATGCCCCAGTACAATCACAGGACTTCAACAGGAATGTCGGTTTGGCCTAGGCTCTTATGGGTGGGACGGCTATAGGTCGACGATCTGAGCTGGATTCCAAGCCATTCGCAGTGCCCGGGATGACTCCTTCAACGCCGAGGCCGGTGTAGAGCCCAGAACAGAAAGTAGGCGACCTCGACCTGGCCCAGCCCGGGTTTAAGTGTTTGCGCCTGGGCCCCTCTGGCTACCTGGTGGTGGCCCCGGGCGGTCCCGGAGGCCGCGGCGTAGCTCCTGGGTGAAGGCGTCTTTGAACCGCACAACGCGGCGGCCCAGGGAACCCACTGGCCCAGCAGCGAGGCCCCGCAGGCGGCGGGCAGCGTCCTGGCCGCGCAGCTGGGCCTGCAGCAGTGCGAAGGCCGTGAGCTGTGCCGCACGTCGGATGGGCCGCGACTCGGACAGACGCTCCACCAGCTGCGGGCTGTGCAGCAGGGCTGCCAGCAGCCGCCGAAGAACCATCCTCTTCCGAGCGCCCCGGAACCAGAAGCACGCTGTTCCCACCTTCCGATCGGCGAAGCAGAATCACGGACCACGTCTGCGCCCGCGCCTCCTGATGACGTCAGTGCCACACTCTGATTGGCCCCTACATATTCCGCTTTCTGCAGCCTTCTCCGCGCGTTTCCGATTCCGCCAACGCCACTGCTGGTGCAGCCCCGTTGTTCCGGCGTCGCCGCGTCCTTGTTCACCTCTGGGCACTATGTCGGGTGGCCTCCTGAAGGCGCTGCGCAGCGACTCCTACGTGGAGCTGAGCCAGTACCGGGACCAGCACTTCCGGGTGAGGGAGGCCGGGCCGCCAGGGCAGAAGGCCCTGGGCCAGAACGCCGAAGAACGGTTGGCACTTGTCTCATTGTGTCGTCTCCATTATGCTGGTGTCCCGAAACGCGAAGTACAGACCCGGTGCCTGCTCGGGAGGCAGAGAGTGGATGCTGGAAGGGTGTTTGGATATCACGGAATCCCCTGACTCTTATAGAAAGGGAATTTGGGGCCGACCCCGTGGCTGCACTCGGGAGAGTGCGGCACTGGGAGCGCAGCGATGCTCCCGCCGCTGGGGGTCGGATCCTATATAAGAATGGCCGGTGAGCTCACTGGCTGAGCGCGGTGCGGGCGACACCAAGCCAAGGGTTGCGATCCCCTTACCGGTCACGGAAAAAAAAAAAAAAGAAAGAAAGAAAGGGAATTTGAAGCTCGCTTTCACATTCGCTTGTAGCCGCTCCCTGTACCCGGCCAGTGCAGAGAGGTTTGAGCAGCGGTAGTGGTGGCGGCTCCCGTTTTCACGGGCTGTGCCTCGGGAAAGTGACTATGTGAAGACGGGAAGAGGTGTCTTTTTCACTCCCGAGTTTGTGGAGGCACCTTTCTTACCCAGACACTGGGCCTTTAAAAGAAAAAAAAAAAAAAATCAGCCAAACAGTTCCCTTTGGCGCCCTGGGTTCTTTCCTTCTTTTGTAGGCCGGCCCTACGAGGTTCTACGCGAAGTTGAGTCTTGTATCCGCCCTTGGAGAGGCTTCGGAGTGGGGGTGTGGACCAGCAAAGCAGGGCACGCTGAGGGTGACTGGATGTCAAGATCAGAGAATTCCTGGATTTCAGAAGAGGGGGATTTAAGTTTAGGCTGTGTCACAGTGTATTTTGTGGAAAAGAAGAAGGCCGTAGATATTAAAGGCGAGCTTTTCAGTTATCTGCAAAGGCGGGCATGGGGTGGAGTACGGTGGGCGGCACTCATTAACTCATTTATTTATAAACCTTTATTGAGTGCTGTTGTAGAAGCCTCTGCTAAACCCTAGAGGGAGAGGAAAGGCTATTCCTGCACCTTAAGAGCTCATAATGCTGTAGTAAGGATTGTAAATGGAGGCAAATAATCAAAATCTAAAGCAGAAATAAGTGGGAAGGGACGGGC